AGGTATATTCAGCTGACAAGTTCCAAATAGGACAAATGCGTGTCCTGGATTCCACTACTATCTACCATCCATCTCTGCTTATAATGCTTGTGATGTAAAGTAATACTGAGGCAATTCCTACAGAGTGCATATTTGACAACATGAGACTGATCAATGTCAGTCCTAAACATCAATGGAAAGATTCAAACAACCAATACAGCTATGTTTGAAGCAATGATGAGTTCACTTAGTCTGAGAACGGAACGAAGGTTCTGTAACACAAGGACAGAAAGCTAGCTATTCTAATACATATCATCCTCGCCACCTTGAGAGAGAAGTTCAGTTTCGAAATGGGGAAATATATTCCGCAAGCAGCCAGAAACACGAGCAATAAAAACAAGCACAAATCAAACGTATATATACAGCATAAAATTGTCCTTGGCAAGCGTTACAAAATAGCATACTAGAAGATCAAACGAACCAATAGCGTTTAACATCCTCCCAAGTGGGAAATACAACACGAAGGTGAAAATGAGCGCTTTTGGCGCGAAAACAAGAAGTTCAAATTTTTAAAATAAAATTGCGAAAATAAGGTTCTACGGATCTAAAATCCTCAACAACTACAAAAATAAATTGATCTTCTCCTTTGTTGCCGTTTTCATTGTGAAGAAAATTAACCGTTTATATTCACAACTTAAATGATTATGAAGCATCGAATGGTCTAATCGCGGTACAAAAAAATCATTATTGCTCGGTTTAATCATTTAAATTAAAATTCTGTTTCCTTTAAAATATTTAATAAATTGGAATACATTTTTTACATTGCTATATGCCGATGTAACTGTTTTTGATGGAGTTTCGTCCTCTGAGCTGCATGGTTTAGTCACGGAGCATTCATCGTTCTAATGAATGACATCATCAGTACAGACACTTGTGGAGAAAATACAGTTGTTCTTGAGTGGAAGCTTGTCTTTCGGAGAAATTCTTCCATTTTCGAACGAAGAGAAGCGTACTATGCTCATATTATTTTAAGATGTTGATGATGTCGTCCAGAATAACGATGGAAGCTCCACGACTAAACCATCCAGCTCAGAAAATAAATCCATCAAAATCATCCACCTGAGCTACAAATCTTCTCTACCATCCCATGTAACTGTTCCATTAAGTATTTAGACATGTATATGGATTAATGATTGTTTTGTTACGAATGAAAATACAACAGGTATATACTTTTCATATCGTTGTCATTCAATGACAAATTACTCGTTCTATATTTAGCGATCTATGTATAAAATTTTAAAATGTGAAATATTCCTTTCACTTATAAATTAATCAGTTTTTATTTTTTTTATTTTTCAGCATATACTATGCATTCAGACTAAAACATGGAATAAAACCAAACTAACAAATCGTTATTTTGTTTTAAAACATTTGAAGTATTTGGGTAATTCTATTCAATACTTATCACCTAATGTAACATCATTTAACCTTTTATTCAAACACTTGTCTAAAATATAAAAGTTAATTTATTTGTTCATATAAAGTCCATTTGCTTGATCGCGATATGTCTGTATCACAAGAAACTTTAGTCGGATACAACTTCATCCAGATAAGTAGAGATGTTGATGTAAAATATGGATTAATCAACAATAATTATTTTGTAAATTTGTCAAATAATACTGAGAACTAAGATCATATTAGACAAAAGTAGCGGCAAAAGTACTTTTCTCGTATTAGATACAGTTTGATGAATTATATAACAGAATACAATTTAAAGTGTTTGTTTATGCTATTTTATATGTAGATGTCCTTATTGATATCACATAACAGCCAAAATTCACAAATGAAATACCTCTGAAAATATATTGCTTTTTATTGATTAGTTATTCAAGTACTAAATAAGCAAATATATAACACATTTAGATGTTATATCATTCTGGAAAAAATTGTAATACATTTGACATGGTCTAGCTTCAAATGACTCATGATTTCAACCTGTGAAATTTCTAAAATCTCCACAAACCCCTTCTGATAACCATCTGCTCACTAGTGACTGACTTCAAGCGATACTCCTGGAGTTCTAGTGAGAAGCCGTTACCAGTGAAGTTCAACCAGGCCTGTTGTGAGATATCAGCTTACTGAAGACAATGGCATACGGTGGCGCAACTTCGTGGATTGGTTGAAGTTAGACATTAACACCATTGGATGCCAGCCGGCCCAGTGGTCTAGTTGGTTGAGCGCTTGGCGCGAGATTGATAGGCTCTGGGTTCGAATCTGGTGGGGTACGGGATCGTAAATAGGCACTTCTGGGGAGTCCTATACTAGGACGAAACGGCCGTCCAATGCTTCCAGGTTTTCCATGGTGGTCTAGCTTCAATTGACTCATGATTTCAATCTGTGAAATTTCTAAAATCTCTACAAACCCGTTCTGATACATTTGACAACCAAAGTTTGCTTTCTGTTTCATTGAAATGTGAAGTGATTGTTAAGTTTATCTATTCACAACTTTTGGTATTACACTTTCATAGTTTTATTTTCATTGCAACTCCAAACCGGATAATCCTAAAAAAATAGTCTGTTATTGAAGTTTAAAGGACTCATGAATTGCAATGTTTAGCCATTGTATGCAAAATTTAAAATTTGTAATTTCTTCCTAAACTAAGTACATAACTTATAAGAATATCTGTCAATATTATAACAAATAGTTTGACAAAAATTGGGACCCGTGTATAGAGAAGTCATTATAGGTGAAAATTATATTTGAAGTAATCTTAGTGATTAAAATTTAAATAATTCCAATGTTTCATCCAGCAAATTTGTCTGAACTTCTGGGTAATAATTGAAATCAAAATTATCAAAGAAATATATATTTCAACAATCAAATCTATACTATGCTAATCCAATCGTATTTAGACGCTGGCTTTAGTAAATAGGATAACATTAGTCAGTTAAATGCGAAACGTGAAAAGTCCACAATGTGAAAATAAATAAATAAATAAATTGTGTGTGCGTGTATGTGTAGGTTTGGTTATCAATAATTGATATTAAGTGTCAATTTGTTCCTTATATGAAGGAAAAATAAAAGTGCAAGTTGAAGGTTGAAAATTTGTTTCTGAATCATCGTTGTGCATGTATAATGAGAATCATCAAATACATGTTTGTATTGCTAAAATAACCTACATTAATTTAAGTCATAATAACGATGCATATGAAATAAACAAGTTGTGTAGAGAATAGGTCCAATTACTTGTTAACGAATATTTGCCAAGTAGTTGCTAGTTGAATATCATTCTTTCTGTTCAGGTTGTTCTTGTTCGCCCATATATATAGAGCTTCTACTGTCAATCCTTTTTCATGTGTGTTAAAACATTTCTTGTTTTTCCTATATTCTAATCTGTCCAGTTTGACATTCATTTTTTATGCATAAATATCTTAATTATTTAGTGTTTAGTTAGATTGTTTTGAATATATTACACTCATAAATCATAGTTATACTAAACTTCTTAATGGATTGACATGTCTCTCGTTGGGTTTTAAAAATAGATACTGATATGCATAATCTTGTTGATAAGTATAAAAAATTACTTTGGAAAGAAAATAATGAAAGGAATCACGAACTAATAAACCGGAATGAAATAGCATAATAGAACCCTTTAAATGTGTATTATACAGTATAATAATGAATACAAAATATGTACTTTTGTATAACCTGTAAGGCCAACATTCTAATAATTTTAATGAAACTTCAATCACTCGAATATATATGTGTAGAATTTGACTGTTCACTATCACTTTCATGGTATTTGAAATGTTCAGCATTAAAAATAGATTGGAAAGTACAGTTACAACCAAATCCAGTTAAATATCGATAATCAATAAATGTCAAGAATCCGAAGGGTTTTTGTGGAGATTGTTGTAATTTCAATAGTTGAGGTTGTGAGTCAATTAAAGCTACACCACCATGGAAAGCCCGAAAGCAGTGAACGACCATTTCATCCTATTGTGGGATTGCTCAGCAGCGCGCGTCCACGACCCCGCCCCGAGGGATTCAAACCCGGGACCTACCATTCTCGCGCGCGAGCCGGTCGGTATACAACTGTGTTAATATCTAACTTCAACTAATCCATGAACTTCATCTTCACATCGGTCAAGTCAGTTGTGAGATAGTAACTCACTGATGACAATCCTGCGAGGCGGGATCGTGGATGCACACTGCCGAGGAGTCCCAAAATAGGACGAAATGGTCGTCCAATGCTTCCAGGTTTTCCATGATGGTCTAGCTTCAACTGACTCACGGTTTCAACTATTAAAATGTTAAAAAACTTTAACAGAACCTAAATCGCGTGTTTTCACGATTCAGAAATCAAAATATTCTGTGTTGTACATCAACTTTATATGAAATTTTGTGAATATTTACTACGTCTGTGTAAATTTTCAGCTTAATTTTTATTCACAATCAAATTTTGAACTTGGTTTTAAATATGATTCTGCTACAGTCATACTAACTCAATCGATAAAAAAAATGATTTTCCTTAGTCAGCTATGAGTATGAGTTATTTCTATTTGTTTATTTGGTTTTATATTGAATAAAAGACGTCTTCAAAATTCTAAGACGAAATATGTTATCAGTATGACCATAATTTATGGATGACCTATGAGCAACGCTAAAATGACCCTAGAATATCCACCTACTTACCAGAGCTTAATGAGGGTTATATATTTTTGTGAGGAATTAGGTTATGAATTTATAGTTGGATTTTAGGGCTATGAATTAAATTTAATGTTTTCATGACGAATTGACATCAACTATAATGCTACTATGGTATTTAACCTAATGAGTGAATGAATTTCTCTCCAAAATTCAAAACCTGCTATCTTAAATGTAATTGGTTCATCCACAAATTATAGTTTCGCCGATGTTAGCTAATGTAGTTGGACAATAAATCTAACCAACACAATTTACAAGTTTCAGAAGCCTGTAGTATCAAATTATTTTTTTTGTTTTTTCATTTATTCATTAGATATTATGTCACATTTTCAAACAAACTACTGATGCTTTCTAAGTCTATTGACAATATTCTGAATTCACATCCTGTCACTGCACTTTTTTCTTGGTGTTAACTACAAATTTAAAATGTGTTTCTTTTTTAACATAATTTCAAATGTTCCTTTTCACTCTTATAAATATTGAAATTATCATACCAATGATAATGTAAATCTAGTATGATTCATTTCAACCTGTCTATTATAAATGAAAAATGTCGTCTATTAGTTGATGTCCAAAAATGTTATGCAGTAAGCAATTAGAAAATGTAAATCAGAAATAATAAATGAAACAAAAACGTGTTGCACATATATTTTAAATTATATTCCCCCCCTCCGTCAACAAGATTTACAAAACATTTTTGCACAAAATGTTAAACTATCGCACAATCACTGTCTGGTCTTAATACGTTATAATCAGTATTTTCAAAATATCAGTAACCCTACACGGTATTGATCTAATGTTATTAATTCAATGAATATTTATTGTTGTTAAAAGTTGTATATTACTTGAAAAAAAAAAGACCAATGTACACCTTGTGACTATTTTCATGTAGTCCATGGATATTTTTTATACGGACGTCATATTGAAATGTAAGAAATATTATAAAATTTAATTTTAAGGATTATTATTACTATTATTTCATTTCAATACGAACAAGTAAAAACGATTACAATAAAATAAAGCAATAAACTAAAAAGAAATTAAACTGTAATCTGACAACAACTGTTTTACAAAGAATGACTGAAGTGAACAATCTTTTGTTATTTTCTATTTCTATTCCATGTAAATGGGTATTCATCTACCACTGTGGTCTCTCTAACTAAAATATAATGAATTTACTATTTTAACATAGATAAAGCTATAATATATGTGTTAAAATCATATTGTATTTAATTTTATGGCAATCTGATAATTACAGTTTTTATAACCAACATTTGTAGCCAAATGTTTAGAAAGAAACAAATTGTGTTAAGAAATAATTTTGTTTTGTTTATTCTAACTACTCATAATCAGTGTAAGTTACTGGAAAATGCATTGATATTCTGAACTTAGACTATACATCGTTTTTACTTAATATTAAGATTATAACACTCAATTCTCGGAAAACTGTTGCAAGACAATGTAACCTTAACTATATGACTTTAGGTACAAATAATGTATCATACGAGTGCATAAACTACTGGAAAGTTAATACTGATATAGGTCATCTACAACGGATTTGTTAAATAAAATGTTTTCATAACTTTTCGACAACTATGAAAATCTGAATGTTATCATGAAACTATAGTCCAACGTTTACTGGTGAAAAAATGAACCTATCCTTTTGATATAATACGAAAAAACTATCACATTTAGACAATATAAAATAAAATCACTATTATGCCTTTAAAGTATATGGAAACTTCCTTATGAATATTAAAGAGTCAAGTCACATATGGTACTGACACAAAGATTCGTTGTTTTTTTTAATAACGAGCATTTTACATTGACATGGAAATGTAATACTACCCCGTCTAATCTCTAAAAATTAAAAATGCCATAGGTATGATGGCTGGTATACATTGATATACAATTTTATCGACAATTTACAATGATACCTACTTTTGTTAGAATCCTACACCATATCATTAGTATCGTATAAAGTCCTAACAAACATAGGTATCATTATAAATCACCAATGAAAAATCTATGCAAATGTATACATTATAGATCGATAAAAAAACGAGTGTAAAAGTAGATTTCTAACCAAATTCTAAGTATAATATATACAATGTAGGTAAAGATCTTTACTTCCATTAAGATTCCTTTTCTAAATTTTGCATGAATATTCTAAAAATTTCTAACTAATTGAGAAGTTGTTTTTCTTTTTTCTTCAGAACAATGGCTCTACAATAGCATTTCTTAGATAGTTATAGACTGACACACTCTAATTAGATAGGAAAAAAAGAAAGCATAACTACCTAGAATTATATTTGACATTTAAAAGTTGATTTTATAGACAGCTTTAAAGAATTTATTAAGGTTTCCAAGCAAATATAAATGTGTGTAGTCAAAACACTGAAAATAGAATACTTTCTTAAAAAGTGAAACAAAAATATTTGCAAGAATCTTATATTTCTATAACTTGTATTGAAGGTGATTTTCCCCCCTATTAAAAAATGCAGGCAGTTTTTTTAATATTTTTGTTGATAGATTGATTTTATTGAATTTATATAAAATATTTTACATAGATTTTTACAGTACTCAACATTGTAATTAAGCTAAGCAACTGATAGAACTATAGTAATGTAGAAGATTATTTAGAAATATACTCATAGATTGATGTGAATTTGATATTTGAACAAGCTTTTGTTAAATATCGCCACATGTGATATGTCATATTCAATCAACTAATTATAATAAAGTTATTACTGGAAAGAAGTAGGAATAAATTGATTAAAGAAATATCCCATTTTCAATTACATTTTCAGAATACTACTAGGATATTACATAAGTTTGATAAAACCCGATGTAATTACGTGGTGTTTAGTTATTTAATAGTATTATAATGAACGAGAACACAAGTGGAAACAATCGAATGCATTTGAACACAAAATTACAGAATGTCAAATAGAATCTGAGAACCATACAGTAAATCTTAATTTCTAAAGTGTCAATCAATTGACTCAAACTTGACTGTTTTTTTTGCAAATATCAGCAACCGTCTCAGATTTCATTGTTCCTGATTTTCCATACTAATTGCTTTCTGTTCCCATTCTTTCCTCCTCGATCTTGTTGAGCTTCTGACATTCTATTCCTGACTAGCGTTATATGCTACTTATGTCGAAATAAGTAACACGTTCCACAGTATTACAAATTCAAACTTATTCATTAACCTATTGTTGAAGTATTACGGGATTAACTAATAATGAATTTAAACAATTAATTTCTATCTCATACACATAGTTCCCTTTATCATTTTGAAAAGAGCAAGAACAAAGATTCTAGCAGAATAACATGAATTCATTTTATTTCGTAGGTTCTCGTCAGCTGCTTACAACCTGTGGTATTTAAAAGATAATAATTACATAATGGGTTTAAATTGCTTACATCAGAGTGTTTTTATTGAAGAAATATTTGTAATGTATGACATGTGTGTAAATGAAATTAATAGGTTGAATATTGTAAATATATACCTAATGTGAAAGAATATTCTACAACATTAATTGTGACAACAGTTCAAAAGTGGGTTAGAAACAATTGATTACATAATGAATAAACATTGATAGGAATATAGTGAGTAGAGTTGAGTTGAAAGATTATTAATTTTTTTTATAAAGATAGTTGAAAAAAATAAAATCAATGACGTAATAAATATAAAAGATAAAAAGAAAAAATTTTAAACTGCAGCGGAAGAATATTTGTCACCAAGGCAGGGAAAGACTAACAATCATCTCCATTTGAACACATAAATCAGGTTTTTGGCACCTGATAGCAACTGCTTCAGCAAACTTCAGAAGACTGGAGTTTGGCTGCTTACTAATCACCTTGAATGGTTGTAGGGTATCAACCTGATGGCCTGTGTCAATTAGATGTTTAGTGATTGCACTACCTAGAGTCTTTCTTTCTCTTGTTTTGAGGCTTTTTGGAACATGTTCAAAAAATCTGAGATATGCTTTCCTTTCTCTTCGGCCAATGTAGCTGCTTTGGCAGGTACATGTAAATTTATAAATACAACTGGCGGTAACATGAAAAGGATGCTTATTAACCTTTGATTGAGTTATTGAACATGTTGTTTTATACAGAATTTGAAGTTTGGCCACCGGATAGGTTCTTTCACATAAGGTATATATTTACAATATTCAGCCTATTAATTTCATTTACACACATGTCATACTTTACGAATATTTCTTCAATAAAAACACTCTCATGTAAGCAAATTAAACCCATTATGTAATTATTATCTTTTAAATGCCACAGGTTGTAAGCAGCTGACGAGAACCTACGAAATAAAATAAATTCATGTTATTCTGCTAGAATCTTTGTTCTTGCTCTTTTCAAAATTAATTTATAGATTCAGATACCTCATTTATTAGATTAACTTTCCTAATTGATTTTAAATTTAAAGACTTTAAAATATCTTACCATTTCGATTATCTGTTCTACCTAGAATTTAGTATTTTATTCAACAGATCAGAAATGATTATGAGCAGTGTCTGCAAATGACACCTGAAGTTTGTGCTGATGTAGTTTAGAAGAACGACCAAACCATTCAGCTCAGAGAACAAAACCCCAAAAAAGAAATGATAACAGACAACTTTTCCAAGTATCTATCCTATGAATTAATAGGTGAAAAAATATATCGGAGAGAAATATTTCTCCTGAAAATTGTCAGTTATTATCTTAGTTTAAAATCGATGTTCATAATAAAATTGAAGAATGCTATTAGACAGTCATTATTTGACTTCATTATTTAACATCAGAACTCCGCCTGTAGCTCTTATAGGGGTGCTGCCGGTCCCAAGCCCGGGTAAAGGAGGAGGGTTGGGCATGGGGTTAGCGTCCCCATCCCGTAGAACACTAACTCGCTAAAAAACGCTTACCAGAAAAAAATAATTCAAACCATTTTAACTCTGCCCTGGGAGTCAGAAGGTCTTCATTTAGAATAATCATGACACTTCATGGTGAAAGCCGAGTTCCTTCAGAAGCCACGAGGTCGATGTCCCTTCTAACAACCAGAGCAACAATTTTTATAGGCACATGGAACGGCCGGGCAATGTGGGAGACCGGGAAGACCAGTCAAATAGCAACGGAAATGAGGAGATACAACTTGGTAGTACTGGGAATCAGCGAAGCCCATTGGACCCAAGCTGGACAGAAAAGGCTAAATACAGGAGATGATGCTATACTCCGGTCACGAAGAGGAAAATGCTCTACATACTCAGGAAGTTGCTCTAATGCTGTCCAAAGTAGCACGAGATGCACTTGTAGGATGGGAATCTTACGGATCCAGAATCATCAAATCATCATTCAAAACAAAGAAGGAGTGGATCACAATGAATATTATCCAATGTTATGCACCCACCAATTATAGTGTGGTGTGAGCTACTTATATTCATATAAGTAGTATATAACGTGCGTTAAATAAACGTAAGGTCCGGCAGCAGAAGATGGCGAAGATCAAGAAAGGAAGAGCAAGAGCACAATGGAATTGTAAGAAAACACATGTACAATGGAATGGGAGACAATGGATTAGTGTTTGCAACGGGAACAGTACAGTTTGATATGATGGAATGATATTTTGCAAATTGACGATTGACTTTATGGTATTCATATTTTATTCAGATAGTCTGTAATCTTTGTGCTAAATACAGTCGATTGTCCCCACCCGTGTTCTTGTTCACTACAATAGCAACGACGACATTAAAGATCAATTCTATGAGAGGCTGCAGTCAATCATAGAGAAGTGCCCAAGAAAGGACCTCACCATTCTAATGGGAGATCTAAATGCCAAAGTCGGAATAGACAACACTGGATATGAAGATATTATGGGACGACATGGACTGGGAGAAAGAAACGAAAATGGAGAAAGATTTGCAAATCTATGTGCATTCAACAAATTGGTCATTGGAGGCACAATATTTCCACACGAGCGTATACACAAGGCTACATGGATCTCACCGGACCACACTACAGAGAACCAAATAGATCATATTTGCACCAATAAAAAATTCCGAAGGACAATGGAAGATGTGAGAAGCAGGAGAGGTGCTGACGTAGCTTCAGATCACCACCTAGTTGTAGCCAATTTGAAACTGAAGCTAAAAAAGAACTGGACAAGTGGACAAACAGCAATACAAAGGTTCAATACAGCCTTCCTTCGAGATACTGTCAAACTTAATGAATTCAAGATAGCTCTCAACAACAGGTTCCAAGCCTTACAAGATCTACTGAAAGAAGAAGAAACTACTATGGAGGACAAATAGA